CTGTACCATTTACACAAAAGGAGATGTTTTTGTCCATGTCACATCCTCATCTCCTCTCAAAAAACCACTATAGCTAGTAGGTTTGTTATTAGCATGTTTACAATGAGATTTTACCAGGTCAGTAACGTCTTTTGTTTTTTCTCAGGGAGCCCTCTCTCCCTGTTAAAAGAATGATTTGCAGCCTGATGTGAGCAATTTTCTTTCCGCTCAAAGAATGCATTTTCTAAAAGCAGTGAGATCAAAATAAATTTTTCTTTTGATACTAGAATGTATACTATTATTGTGTTCTGCATTTTAGTTATAAATTTTTAGGTAGGGAAAAGATGTCACTGTTTATATGTTAAGTGAACATTAGCTTCTTTTCCCCGGCTTTTGACTAAGGTTTAAAAGTTGACTTAGCTATTGAAGTCATCACTTGCTCTGAACAAGGGCACTAGTAAACTGCAGGGGAGGAAGAGGGCGTCTTCCTGCAGCGGATACTAGGGAATGGGAGATCCTGCAAAAAGAGATCTTCTTTTGGCAGGATACCTAACTTTTTTTTTTCTTTTCTTTTCTTTTTTCTTTTTTTTGAGACAGAGTCTGGCTCTGTTGCCCAGGCTGGAGTGCAGTGGCCGGATCTCAGCTCACTGCAAGCTCCGCCTCCCGGGTTCACGCCATTCTCCTGCCTCAGCCTCCCGAGTACCTGGGACTACAGGCGCCCGCCACCTCGCCCAGCTAGTTTTTTGTATTTTTCAGTATAGACGGGGTTTCACCGTGTTAGCCAGGATGGTCTCGATCTCCTGACCTCGTGATCCGCCCGTCTCGGCCTCCCAAAGTGCTGGGATTACAGGCTTGAGCCACCGCGCCCGGCCCGGATACCTAACTTTTCAAAAGCAAATTTATATAAGTGAAGCGGGATATGTCAGCGGAATTTAGTCTGGGTTCTCTCGGCAGCACATCCAGAGAATACTTTGAGTGGAAACTTTATTTGGAATTGTGTATGGAATAAAGGTAGGAAAGGAAGTGCAATAGGAAAGGGAAGGTGGAACACAATAAAGGTTATTTTCTTAATCCAGCTTCTAGAGGTGGTGACTAGAGCATAACACTATAGAGTAATTCTGGGAAATGGGGCAAAACACAGTGTTCAGAATTACCCTGAAGCTTTAGGGCTGAGACTGCCTAGACTATAACGAGCAAATCACAAATTCATCTTGTCGATGGGCGGTCCCATTACTGGTGATGATTGTTCAGCAGCTCTCGGATTAGCATGTCTGAGAGCAGGCAGCTTTCAGTCAGTTTACCTGAAGAAAAAGAGCCCGTAGATACAGCTATACCGATAACTAGTTGGCCCATAGTTCCCCATTATTCCCATCGACAAAGCGAGGCAATGATAACCTCAGTCCAGGAAAAATGGAGACGAGTGGGAGAGATACAGTACATGGAAACCATTCACTGCCCTAGCGTACAAAAATAAATAAAAAGAACAGAGACAGGCGCAGTGGCTCACGCGTGATATCTCAAGCACTTTGGGAGGCCGAGGCGGAGGATCATGAGGTCAGGAGATCGAGGACCGTTCCTGGCTAACACGGTGAAACACCGTCTCTACTAAAAAAAAAAAAAAAAATACAAAAACAAAAAAAATTAGCCAGGTGCCTGTAGCCCCAGGCTACTTGGAGGCTGAGGCAAGGAGAATCGGCGTGAAGCTGGAAGGGCGAGCTTGCAGTGGCAGAGTGTGCCACTGGCACTCTCAGCTGGAGACAGAGCCAGACTCTGTCTCAAAAAAGAAGAAGAAGAAGAAGAAGAAGAAAAAAGAACAATCAGAGTTGGCAGCTCAGAAAGAGTTAAAGGAAGGAGGTGTATATTATATATATTTTTAACTGTGTGTGTGTGTGTGTGTGTATGTGTGTGTTTAGGTATCTTAAATATTTAAGCCTGGAGTTCTTGAAGTAAACTTGTATTTGTTGGATTTTTATTTCTAAGTCAGTGAACTAAGATGAAAAAAAAAGGACAATGATTGATGGATGTATTCTCACCAAACATGGTTCTAAAAACTTAGAATAACTTCCAAATAAAGATGTTTCTCTTAGTACTGAAAATGTAGTAATAATACCTATTGCATATTCTGTCATAAATTTATACTGCCTCAAGAGAAAAACTAAAAGCAAACCCCTAATCTCCAATATTTTAAGGCAATTTTACATGGGGGGAAAATAATCAATATCAGATAGGTTTCTTCCAGATCAGCTTTTTCTAACACTAAAACTAAAAATGAATAGATTTCAAGTAGGCAAAGGATTTTTAAATAAATCACTTCAATTACGATTTGCATATCATCTGGATGAAGCAGATTTTATGCTTATATTCCTCACTGAGGAGTTATAGCTCAACAAATTTGGTGGTGCAATGAAAGCAGCTCTATGCACACAATGCAAACTGAAAAGATGGAAAGTTTAGACTTCATAAAAACTGAGAAATCAAAGTAGTCTTTTTTCTTCATTTTTTTCTGTTGTTGGTTGAAAGCCCATCTTTTACAAAAAGGTTTATCTATAGTAATGGTATAACGCTTGAACATAAACAGTATACAAAATATAATACACAAAACGTTTATTTGAGTGTCTGCTTTTGTATGGGGATGCATGGTAGATTGTATTTCCAGATACTACATCATGGATCAAAATCTCTCCTTTCAAGATTCTTATTATAGCCAATCTCTTCCACATTGAAAATTTGACCTGTTCCACATTTGATATTCCCATTAACAAGGTTACTCTTCTGTAGACAAAAAAGTGTATATTGAAGTATCAGTATAGTATCTGAAGTAGATAACACACTAAACAATATAATAATGTATCAGTAAAAATAAGGAAAATAAAGAAGCTGAAGTCATGCTTAAAGAACTTTAAGAAAATGAAAATTGAGGTGTTGAAAAAAGCTTTTAAGGCTAACATGAATGAGGCATTCAAGTGGGAAACCCATCCAGTTCTACCTTTTTGAACTTTGCCTGTCATGGCCAGGATAATTAGGTAGAGATCAGAAGAACAGAGTGAGAAATGGACATCCCAATTTATGTGACCTTGGGCAAATTACTTCGCTCTGTATGCCTCAGTTTTCTCATTGACAGATTGAGAATATTTATATATCTTTACTATCAAGGCATTTACAGAAATAAATGAGCTAACATATGCCAAGCGCTTTAAATTGTGTAAAGCACAAGGTAAGTAATAAATGTTTATTGTTATTAAAAAAGGAAAATTCCATGAGTAATTTTGTTATACTAAGTAAATTTACCTTTGGTTTGACCATCATTTCCTTCATGTTGCAGATAACTCTTTAAAATGAATTTGATTTTCAAACAATAAAAAACAAAACAGCAACAAAACTCCCTCTCACCTCCTCTCACCTTCTTTAGTCCTTGCCAAAGTGTTAATATTACAGAAGTACTGTGAGAATTTCCTGTGTTGTGGTTCCTGGAACACTTTAGAGGCTTGTGATTCTACTGCTTCTTATTCACACTAAAATACATGTCTCACCAATAGATGATTCAAGAGCATCATTTAAATGCACAATTTTTCATTCTCTTTTTTGGCTAAATTTCTTCATACTCAACTTTCAGATTCTTTAATCTCCAGCTCAGCTCCAACAATTCAACGCTGTTCTATCTGAAAAAGTACACATCGTGCCTTCTCTACTTCGCTCTTGGAACATAATTTCTCATGGCAGGTATGTGTGATTTCAGTCACTAAATTAAAAATAACCAGAAAAGCTATTTCTTGGATTGGCTAATTTTGGGGTAATGCTTTAAGAGAAAAGGACATGATTAACAGTGGATGTTTTTAGGATTTTCATGCGTTAGCACTTTCCACGTTCATTTTATTTTCCTGATTCTTCATTGTGTAACTTCGACATGATTTCAGGAAGTTTTTCTCACAGGTTTAAAGAATGACTTCTGACAGGTCTACCTTTAAATTCTGAATGAGAACTGAACTTTAGCCTAGTTGAATTGTGAGCAACAGTATTCTAGCATAGCAATAGAAAATGCCAAATATTAATGACACAATGCTGAAAAGTTTTAAATTTACTATTTATGTTGTGACATCCAAAAATTACACAAATGAACAGTTTGACACATTGTACTGTTGTTCATGACAACATCACTCTTTGAGAGTGTGTCCATGTTAGAATCTCCTAATGTGGAACTGTTTTAGGTGAAAAGCCTAGAAGCAAGTAATTTTGGGTATGAACAAACGTAATGTTCTTGGGGAAAAAAGATTATTCATGTATGTTCAATGTACTGTGAAATGAAGCCAGGCCTCCAAAGTGTTACCCATATATTTGTCGTTATCAGTTATCACACCAAGTCCAGAACGTTCCTATGTCTTCTTTTCCCTATAATACCTCTACGAACCCATGAGCAGCTAGACATTTATCAGAGCAAAACCTGCGTTGAGATGAGGAGGGGACATACTCTCAGTAGTATTATTGTGACAATGGTAGACTATGTTAAATGAAAGATTCTTGAGCTAGACACACTTTCATTTGATTTCTGACTTGGATACTTACTCGCTTTGATACCTTGAGAAAATAACATCATTATTGGACCTTATGTTTTCTCATCTATGTAGTGAGAATCATACTATCTATCCCGTGATTTTGTTGAGAGAATAAAAATAAATGTCTGTTAGGTAAGTCCATAAAACACAACGTGGTGCCCGCTAACATCTTATTCCTCCAGCTCTTTAAGCATCTCTGCCAATTTAAAACATAAATGGTAAACTCACTTTACTGTGACAGAGCTGGTAGAGAAGAAAATGTTTGAATAATCTTCCTGAAGAATAAGATACATCACATAAAAATGTTGGTATTGGGTGAAGTCCTGATTGGAAAGTCTTCAGTGTTTTATTGGCAAGATGACTCCATTATCAAATGAAAGAATGTTGTGGATTCTCCCTCACTAGTTTCTACTTTTAAGAACACAGCTCCTGTGTTTGCTCTTTAAGTCATTACTCTGTCTGTCTTTCTCTACAGTGTTTAAGACCACTCTGTGGAGGTTAATTTCTGGGACCTTAGGGATAATATGCCTTTCGTTGATGGCTACGTTGGGAATTCTGTTGAAAAATTGTAAGTTTTTCTAAGCAAGTCTCCATAAAAATCAAAACTGTGATGACATCATTTAATAATAAAGGCTTCATCTTACTAATGTGTAATATTTTATTGTTTCGTAAACCCATACCTAATTAAACAAATTTTTAAACATGTCTTATAGCTTTTACTAAACTGAGTGTTGAGCCAGCATATACTCCAGGACCCAACATAGAACTCCAGAAAGGTAGGTCACATTTTTTGGAAAACTTAGCATTGATAAGGGATTACACAAGCAGTTTCTTGTTTTTCACACAGAAAGTCATGATGGAATATTATACGTAGTAATAGAAATTTGCCTACCAGTGTAGGATAGTCTCATTTTACATTACTCAATCTAATGTAAAAATGATTAAATTACATTGAATGTGTATCATTTGTACATTTAACTAATCAGGAAAATAGTAGCCTGAAATGAAAGATATGTTTCCTATATGAGTGCTCATAAATAAGAAACAAAAAATAAACCACAGGAAATGTTACAGTTAATCCTTATTACCTGCCTGAATTTGCTTATAACCTATACTTTTGCATCTCATTACTTTTCCTTTTGCTCCTTCTATAATCCAGAATACAGTGCACAGATTTCTAAACCTTACTTATCCAGTGAAAGCCAGCTCAAAGTCCAATTTTTGTTTTTGGAGACGGATTTTGCTCTTGTCATCCAGGCTGGAGTGTAGTGGCGCGAACTTGGCTCACTGCCACATCCACCTCCCAGGTTCAAGCGATTCTCCCACCTTCCTGCCTCAGCCTCCCAAGTAGCTGGGACGACATGTGCCCGCCACCATGCCCCGCTAATTTTTGTGTTATTAGTAGAGTCGGGGTTTCGCCATGTTGGCAGGCTGGTCTCGAACTCCTGACCTCAGGTCATCCACCTGCCTGGGCTTCCAAAGTGTTGGGATTATAGGCATGAGCCACTGTACCCGGCAGAGCCACTGCACCCGGCCCCGATTTTCTGAATATATTTTTTTCAGAATGCGCCCCAAGTTGTCTCACCATCATCTGTGATTATATAGTGCTTCATTTACAGTGCAACATCTTGGCCAGGCACAGCGGCTCACGCCTGTAATCCCAGCAGTTTGGGAGGCTGAGATAGGCATATTACTTGAGGTCAGAAGTTTGAGACGGGCCAACCCCGTCTGTACTAAAAATACAAAAATTAGCCAGACATGGAGGCACGCACCTGTAGTATCAGTTACTCAGGAGGCTGAGGCACAAGAATCACTTGAACCTGGGAGGTGGAGGTTGCAGTGAGCTGAGATGGTGCCACTGCACTCCAGCCTGGGCAATAGAGCAAGACTCTGTCTCAAAAACAATTAAAAAATATAAAAATACAGTGCAACATCTTCAGCACCACATATATGGCAAAGATTTGAGTGCCTATGATGTGTCATGCTTTTTATTACTGTGGATAACAAATGTTGAAGACACTATTATTGATAAAATGTATAATTAAGCCTCAAGATAATTGGTTTATTTATATTCCCTTTTCAAAAATAACATATCCAAACATGTCAAAATTCTCCAAATGTACCGTGTTCTTTTCTGACTCAGAAAGTATGCTAAAATGTTTTCCTCCTTTAAATCTTTTTCATCTAATTAACTCCTATTTATGCTACAGTACTTAGTTTGGCGTCACTTCCTCAAAAAAGTTCCTTGTACTGGCCCCTCCATCTTAGACTCTGCTTACATGCCTGTTTTTTTTTTTTTTTTTTTGCGAGACGAGTCCTCGCCTATGCCGCCCAAGGCTGGAGTGCAGTGGCCCGGATCTCCAGCTCACTGCAAGCTCCGGCCTCCCTGTTCCACAGCCATTCTCCCTGCCTCAGCCTCCGAGTAGCTGGGACCTACAAGGCGCCCGCCACCTCGGCCTGCCGAGTTTTTTGTATTTTTTAGTTAAAAAGAGATGGGGTTTCACCGTTGTTAGCCAGGATGGTCTCGATCTCCTGACCTCGTGATCCGCCCGTCTCAGCCTCCCAAAGTGCTGAGATTACAGGCTTGAGCCACCGCGCCCGGCCTAACATACTTAATTTTTTTGCACTTATCCAAATCATCACTAAATATCGTTAATAAATTATTGAAAATTATATAATTGTGATTCTATCTTTAGAATATAATCTCCATGAGGAAAAAGCATCATGTTCATGTCTAATTAGTTCACATTAGTAGCCCCTGAAGTGTGGTGTATACAGTAGATTCTGAAAGAATGTTAAAAGAATACACAGCAAATAATTTTTGAATAATTAAATAGCATTGAAAGAAATGTCTAGTCTCCAGTGTCATTAGTCACGCTTTATCTTTTCTGTCAGACTCTGACTGCTGTTCTTGCCACGAAAAATGGGTTGGGTACCGATGCAACTGTTACTTCATTTCCAGTGAAGAGAAAACGTGGAAGGAAAGTAGGCATTTCTGCGCCTCTCAGAAATCCAGTCTGCTTCAGCTTCAAAACAGAGATGAGCTGGCATGTGCTAAGTCTGATTTTCTACATTTTCTTTGATCTAGAAAAAATATACTATCTGAACAAATTAAATATTTTAAGTCATTAATCACATAGTAAGTGGACGGTTACATTGGAATTGAGTTATCTGTTCTGTGTACCTTAAAGTAGTCATTGTAAAATCTATATTAAATTCCTCAGTGATTTGTATCATGAGAATACACATCAAGCTAGGTGCCAAATAAAGTGAAAGAAACTTTTCAGGAAGAATTCAAAGAAGATAATAGGTCATTACATTTACCCATTTTATTTGAAGAACCAACTACATGACTGTAATTTTTAGCTCTTTTAATTGAATTTATAATTTCTTTGATAATTTTATATTTTTTGTCATCTTTCTAGGATATAAACTAGCATGGAAAATACGGTAAGAAAAAGTACCGAATTCTTTTTTTTTAGACAGAGCTTTACTCTGTTGCCCAGGCTGGAGTGCACTGGTGCGATCTTGGCTCACTGCAACCTCCGCCTCCTGGGTTCAAGTGATTCTTCTGCCTCAGCCTCCTGAGTAGCTGGGATTTCAGGCACTCGCCACCAGGCCTAACACTTTTTGTATTTTTAATAGAGACAGGGTTTTGCCATGTTGGCCAGGCTGGTCTTGAACTCCCGGCCTCGGGTGATCCACCCGCCTGGGCCTCCCAAAGTGCTAGGATTACAGGCATGAGCCACCAAGCCTGTGCCTGGCCCTAATTACCCAATTCTTTTTTTTTTTTTAGAAGGAGTCTTGCTCTGTCGCCCAGGCTGGAGTGCAGTGGCGCCATCTCGGCTCACTGCAAGCTCCACCTCCCAGATTCACGCCATTCTCCTGCCTCAGCCTCCTGAGTAGCTGGGACTACAGGCGCCCGCCACCACGCCCGGCTAATTTTTTTGTATTTTTAGTAGAGACGGGTTTTCACTATAACGCCAAGATGGTCTCGATTTCCTGACCTCGTGATCCTCCCGCCGTGGCCTCCCAAAGTGCTGGGATTACAGGCATGCGCCACCGTGTCCGGCCCCTAATTACCCAATTCTTAAGAAAAAGTGAAAAAATTCTCCTGCTGTACGCGGCACCTTTGCTAATTATATGTTGAGCAGATTATACCCATGGGATTCATCCTTCACAAGACCATTATTTTGGAATCAAATTTAATCATTGATCCCCCGTGAACAAAGTGTTCCCTAAAGACTCTATCTCCCTTTATAAGGTTTCTAATTCTTCAAGAAGTGAGATTTTGCAGTATTTTTTCTCCATATATGAATGGGCCTGATAAATGAGAACTCTGAGTTATGTGACTATACCTTTTAAAGAGGAAGTTAAAAATAATTTCCGTTTGTGTAATGGACAGGCTGAATCTTATTGTAAACACTGACTTGCCCTCAAAATATGTTATTCCCAGAGTAGATTAAAAATAGATTAATGTGATTGTCTTTTAACTGAAGCAGGATTTTATGAGCTCCAGTCATCATTTTTACTGGATTGGACTCTCTTACAGTGAGGAGCACGCCGCCTGGCTGTGGGAGAATGGCTCTGCACTCTCCCAGCATCTGTGAGTTTCTGGCGATCATGGCCTTTTTTGCTCTTTACGAATGTGTCCTTAGATGTGATTAGTAAAGGTAACATCCAGGAGCACTGTAGCTGAAATGACCTGGTCTAGGGCATGAGAATACAGGAAAAGGAAAAGGTACAACAAAATAACAATTTTAGATCTGCCTAGAACATCCAAGTTAACGCTCAAGTGACATGAAAGTTAGTGTATTTGTGGCCATAAAAGAACTTTTAACATATACGTTGTTTTTGCCTTAGTACAAGCCCTTGGAATTATATGTGCATGTACAGATACTCATATACGCAGAGGCAGTCCAGAAAAAGTAATATATTTATTATTTTATCTGTTCTGGTAGATCCCAATATTCTCAGCATTGTCTTATGTTTTATATGCTGTAGGCTCATTTTCTGTATGTGTGTACTTTTTGAATCTCATTTTCATTTATAAACATGAGATTTGCAGCATGACACAGGGACAAAGTTTATGCTCTTGTTTGTTTTCCTAAACTAGATCAGATAATACATCTTAAATAAAATAGAAGAAAAGCATATCACATATTTAAACCATTAATGACAACAGAAAAACAGCAAGGAAAAGCTCCTGGCCTCAATGCTATTGATTAGTAAGAAAATAACTGGGTATTTTGTAGCATTACACTAGAGAATCATGAAAATTGTGGTTACTGAAAGAAAAAAAGGACTCAATATGTTAATATCTCACTCAAATGCTTTTAAAAGTTATATCATTTAATTGAAAAATTATCTGAACATTCTCACTTCTTTTTGTGCATATTAACATTTTCTTCTTCATTACAGATTTCCATCTTTTGAAACTTTTAAACCAAAGAACTGCATAGCATATAATTCAAAGGGAAATGCTTTAGACGAATCCTGTGAAACTAAAAATCGTTATATCTGTAAGCAACAGCTCATTTAAACGTTTCTTAGGGCAGAGAAGGTGGCGAGTAAAGACCCAACATTACTAATAATGACACAGTTACCTGTTATATTGTTACTAATTGTCTACTTCTGGAGTCTATAAAATGTTTTCAAACAGTGTCTTACACAATTGTCATAGATGTGAAACAATGTGTTTTAAAATTGATGAAATTTGTATATCTACATTTGAAATTATAAAATTAATATGAAGAATTTTATGAGTATTTTGATTTAATGTATCTATTTAATGTTAAATTCGATGTCGTTTTATTGCACGTTTATGTAATTTTATTTACATTCTTGCAAATTCTCAGCACAAATTTCAATAAAATTTAATTCACGTCAAATAAAATTTACAAAATAAAATTTAACTCACATTGCCCAGGCTGGAGTGCAGTGGCAAGATCATAGCTCATTGCAACCTCAACTCCTGGGCTCAAGTGATCCTCCTGATTCAGCCTCCCAAGTAGCTAGGACTACAGGCTCCACACCACTATGGCCAGCTAATTTTTCATTTTTTTGAAGACAAGGTCTCACTGTGTTGCCCAGGCTGGTCTTGATCTCCTGGCCTCAAGGGATTCTGCCACCTTGGATTCCCAAAGTGCTAAGATTGCAGGTGTGAACCACCATCCCTGGCCCTCTTCACATTCTTGTATGAAGATTGATTTAGGAAAAATGCACTTCAGTTAACTGACAAAATATATAGGATGAAATGTAATATCTTTCAAATGTTTAATTTGAACTAAGAGAGCTTATGCATTGCACTTTCTGGAGATTTGTAATGTTTTGGATTTGTTGTCCATGTGATTACAAAATAATATATTTTTAATTAAAAAATTTAAAATAATACAGGCAAGCATGTAACGATTATAAATTTTTTTTTTTTTGCACCAACTCTCCTATCTCCCTGACCTCCTCCCATTAGGCATTATCTTCTGTATTGATTTTAACACTTAAAGTGGTTTTCTCTGTTATGAATCAAAGCTGGTCTATTTTCATCATTTTCATGATGAAAAAATTCATTTTGATTGACTTAGGATGGAAGGATTTGGACTGGGTCCGGTGGTTTATGCCTGTAATCCCAGCACTTTGGGAGGCCAAGGTGGGTGGATCACTTGAGGTCAGGAGTTTGAGACCAGCTTGGCCAACATGGTGAAACCCTCTCTCTACTAAAAATACAAAAATTAGCTGGGCATGGTAGTGTGCGCCTGTAATCCCAGCTATTTGGGAGGCTGAAGTGAGAGGATCTCTTGAACCTGGGAGGCGGAGGTTGCAGTGAGCCGAGATTGTACCACTGCACTCCAGCCTGGTCGACAGAGCAAGACTCCTCTCAAAAAAAAAAAAAAAAAAGATAGAAGGATTTGGAACCTTAATTGCATCTGAAAAACTGCCTCACCTTTGTTATTTAGTGTACTCTAACCACAGAGTAACATCCCATCATAATCCCAAATTCTACTCAAACTAAAGGGGAAGGGATTATGCAGGTGTACACTAGGCCACTGGTGTACCATTAGAAACCACTTTAGAGTTATGCCTACTGTACCCACATAATCCTAAAAATATGTTACAACTGCTACTTCATAGTTTATGCCATTTATTTAATTTATTTATTATTATTATTATTTTGAGACACGGTTTCATTTCCACTACAGCCCAGGCTGTAGTGTAGTGATGCAGTCATGGTTCACTGCAGCTTCAACTTCCCAGGCTCAGGTGATCCTCCCACCTCAGCCTTCTGAGTACTTGGGACTAAGGTACAAGCCATCATGCCTAGCTAATTTTTTGTATCATTTGTAGAGATGGGGTTTCACATTGTTGCCCAGGCTGGTCTCGAACTGTTGGGCTCAAGGGTTCTGCCCACCTTGGCCTCCCAAAGTGCTGGAATTACAGGCATAATATATCCGGCCAGTTTATGTAATTTAAACACTGCCTTTTGATTCCTTAATTCACGTACGCTAGGACAAGTAATTATTTTCTGTTTTTCTCAATACATTAATTATTGGTTCCTCCATTAGTTGTGAAGTTCGAATTAGGGAAAAGGAGTTAGGCTGGTGGGAGCAGGGGAAGGCAGAAAGAGAAAGCAGATAAGCTATGAGTCTGCCTTTCTTCATGTCCAGGATATGGGCCGTGTGCTAACCTATCACCAGACACCTGCAAGTTAGCTCACTGCAACCCTGGCGTTATCAGTACTGGACAAAGCCCTCTGCAGCACACAGCATAAACACTATTCCATGAAATCTTCAGCAAGTCTTTGTTTCTTCGTAGTCAGTTTTTCTTCTGCTGATGCTGCCTGTTACCTCCCCGGAAACATATTTTCCTACTTTTCTTTAATAAATCTGCCTTTCTTTACCTACAACTGTCTTGGTAAATTCTTTTACGTCAATGCCACGGGTCCAGATAGCCATTGCTCACCCACAACATTAGTGTATTAGTCCATCCTTATGCTGCTAATAAAGATATACACCAAGACTGGGAAATTTATAAAATAAAGAGGTTTAATTGACTCACAGTTCTGCAGGGCTGGAGAAGCCTCTGGAAACTGTCACTAAGTATTAATGTGTCACATAGCAATAGATAAGCAATACATATTTTGGTACCCAGAATGAAGTTACCGTTATAAGGAAAAAAAAAGACACTAAAATTTTGGAGTGCTTGAAAACAGGCAGTGGATGGAGGCTAAAAGGACAGGAAAGACTGAAACCTTCTAGTACAAGCTTATAGTAGGGAAGAGAACACATTAGAAACTGGAGAAAGTAAAAATCTTTCTATTTAGTACCAGAAAGTTTAGCAACACTTTTGTCTGTAGTATTGTGGAAGGTAGAAAATGTACTTAATGAATTAAGAGAATGCTCTAAAGTGATTTCTAGTCAGAGTGTTGAAGATACTGTCTGATTTCTTCCTACTACTTATATTACAATGCTATAGAAGACACATAACCTAATGGAAGGGCTGTTAAGCGAAAGAAGTCAGAACTTGATAGTTTTGAGATTCCTGCACTCTCAAGTGTTAGCATGTCAAAAATGCTAAAATTGAGAAATAGATTCTGAGCAAAGGTCCAATCTACAGTGCTCTGAGGAAAGCATGATTCTAAAGAAGAAGGTGTGTGCGTGTCTAAAATTTCCTGAAAATGTCATAGAAGGAACACAGGTAGTGCCTCAATTCAATCAGACAAAGGATTTATAAAGGTCAAATAACGGGGCTTCTAGGAAGCCCTAGGGCATTGTCCCTCAGGTATCTCAGCAGAAGCTCCAGGTAGAGAGAAGATTGAAGAGATTTATGTGTGTAGTTTTTACAAATAGAATTCATAGAAAACCTCAAAACATTTTTGAGATGACTATGTCAGTAGAAAAATGACAATGAAGTGCTTCCTTTTATTAAAAAGTAAGAATGATTCAAAGGACAGAACTAAGAACCTGTAAGGTGGATCCAAGAGTTATGAAGAGTCATTTTATAGCAGAAACAGGACTGAGTCCTAATCAAATGAGTCCCAACATTTGCTATGCTAGATTTTAAATTATTATGCATCAGTGACTCCTTTGTAATTCTCATGCCCCTCCCTCTTTTGAACAAGGATGTCTATAGAGTTTGTTCTTTTGGATGCTGAGTGTATAAGGCAAGCAAATCTCTAGTATTGTTAATTTCACAAGCTTTCAGATGGAGAAAACTTATACTCAAGAAGCTAAACTTAAGGAACTTCACCTGATGAGTCTCACTCACATTTGGGTGTGACAAATTTCTGGACTTTGAGCTAACATTGTAACAGGATGAGATTTAGCAGTTGGTGTGGATTTTGTATGTGGCAGGGACATAAATCATTTGGGGCCAAAGATCAGACTCTTGTAAACAGTTTCCTATATGTCCTAATGATCCCTGTTTCTTGGAATTTAACACTTTTGCTATAATCAATTACATTGTATACGGGTTGATCAGTGTGACCAAAAGAATAAGTCAGAAGTTATAGCATGTCACTTTTGAGGCTAGATTATAAAAGACAGTATGTCTTTCACATTGTCCTCTCTCATATCATTTGATTTGGTGGAAGCCAGCTACCTTGTCATGAGCAACTTTTTGAAGTGTTCCATGTGGCAAAGAACCGAGGCCTGCTATAAACAGCGAGCAAGGAACTGCAGCCATCCTGTAGACAGCCATGTGCATGAGCCTCCTTGGTTCAATTCTTCAGCCAGTGTCAAGCCTTAGAAAATACAATCCAACCTACATTTTAACTGCAGCCTCGTGAGGGATCCTGAGCTAGAACCAGCTAGCACAATTGCTCTTGATTCCTGACCTCAGAAACTGTGAAGTGAAATATTCTGTTGTTTTAAGCTCACAAGTTTGAGGATAACTTGTTCTTTATAGTAGTTAGCTAATACAATGTGTTTCATCATCATGACCTCAGGTATAGAAAACATTTATTTATTGATTGAGATGGAGTCTCACTCTGTCACCCAGGCTGGAGTGCAGTGGCACAATCTCGGCTCACTGCAACATCTGCCTCCCTGGTTCAAGCAATTCTCATGCCTCAGCCTCCCCACTAGCTGGGATTACAGGCACCCACCATTACGCCGGGCTAATTTTTGTATTTTCAGTAGGCATGGGGTTTTGCCATGTTGGCCGGGCTGGTCTCCAACTCCTGGCCTCAAGTGATCCACCTGCCTCGGCCTCCTGAAGTGCTGGGATTACAGGCATGAGTCATAGCGTCCGGTCAAATAGAGGACATTTTAGAGCCCAATAGTAAGCTAGGATTATATTTCCTTCTTTGAGGTTCTATTATTACAACCCTTATACAATAAAAAACAACTCTTCTGCCAGATTAAAATTTTTTGTTTGTTTGTTTTTTGTTTTTTGTTGTGTTAGTTCTCAGTTATGTTATATAACCCATGAGTGTCACTTTGTTCTCATTGGAATTAACCCTCCAAGAGGCCTTACCCACCTGCTCTTGTTTGGACTGGCACCTTACTAGACCTGCTCCACAAACTGCCGTCATGAAATTTTTCTTCACTAATTTTCTCATTTACGCTAAATACTTCATTGATTACGGTTTACCTCTTTATATATTTTTAATTGAGCAAAAACACAATAAAGAATATCTATCTTAAATTTACATGTAAGTCTTTACGCTATGTCTACACTTACACAATTACTACCAGATTGCAATAGAGACTATCTACCACCACCAAGACTCTCTTTCTGTTTGCTAATTGATACTGTCTCCCCTGTTCCAAGAAAACCGCTACTCTGATTTTTGAAAATATAGGTTTGTTTAGCCTGTTCTTGAATTTCATATAAATGGAAGCTTAGAAAATATGATCTTGGTGGCTTCTGTTGCTAAGCATTACGTCTGTGAGATACATCCATATATTTGTGCAGCAGTAGCTCCTTACTTTTATTGTCATGTAGAATTCATAAGAATGTATCACAATTTGCTTATTTATTCTAACATTGTTCAACACTTGAGTCATTTCCACTTTTCACTATTATGAGTAAAATTACTATAAACATTTTAATATATCTCTTGTGGGACATGTGGCTTCATATCTTTTGAGTGTATGCCTAGGAGTTGAATTTCTAAGTCATAAGCTGTCGTGTATTTAGGCCCTTTAGTTCATGCTTTAAAAACTTGTAAAAATTTATTTATAAAGTTTATTTATAATTTCACTGGCAGTTTATGTGAGCGTTACTCTATGTTCTTGACAAACACATAGTGTTATGAATTATTTTAGTCTAAGGACCTTCTGGATACTATGCATTTGCATACAATTGTACATTTAATTTCCATTTTCTAAATGAATAATGATGCTCACCTCACATCTTTTAGTTTTCATTTTCATATCCTTTTCTATGTAGTGCTTGTTTAAGCTTTTAGCCATTATTTATTTTTAACAGCGCTGTTGCAGTATAATTGAGATACAATAAAGTTTATATGCTTAAAGTATGACATTTGATGTATTTCCATATCTATGCATCTGTGAAACCATCACCTCAGCAATATATGAAACACATACTACCCTCAAAAGTATCCTTTTCCCTATATATAAAAAATCTGCTCCTTCCCTCACAGATGAGTATTGTACTGTATTCTGTTACTATAGATTTGCCTTTCTACATTTTATATAGAGTCATATAATATGTACATCTGTTGTCAGGATTTTTCATTCAGCATAACAGTTTTTATATTCATCTATGTTGATACATGTATCAATAATTAATTCCCTTTTCTTTCTTTTTCCCTTTTTTAATTTTTTGAGACTGGACCTCTTGTTTCTGTCACCCAAGGTTAAGATGGCGGCGGTGGTGCGATCTCAAGCTTCACTCGCAACCTCCCACACCAGGTT